GCCACCAGAGCTCCCATTGCTTGATTTAGTTGGCTTGAAATGCAAGATAACCTGCACTCTGGAAGTGGCTGGGTCACTGTCTTCAAAGTCATTCTGGAGACTCAGGCCCCTGATGCTCCCCTGACCCACACAAAACCTGGAAAGCACACCAAATATGAGTCTGCCTCCCAACCTTCACCCCTCACCATTTAGGGTCCACCTCGGGACTGTTGGAGAACTCTTAAAGCCCTGATAGATCTAACTCTTCCCACCACACACTCACCACCTTGCCACTGAGTAACCTGGCTGTGGAAAAGTCCCCCCACCCTGCCACATCCTCTGCATGGGCTGATGTGGAGGTGCATGGGGGAGGGTTGCCTGTATCTGTGGCCTCCCTGGTCTCCCAGCTGTGCAGATGTCCTGCTCGTCAGGATGACTGTCTTGACCACCATTCTGTCTGTCTGCAGGTCTTTCTGCCCAGACTAATCCTGCTTTTCTGGAGCATCCTGCCCTGGTACTAACTACCTCCACTGTGTGACCCAGGTTGAGATGGGTCTGTGCCACCTCATGTGGAGCCCCAGGTGTGGTGCCTGCCGACTTGCCTGTCACTGTCACCTTGGTGCTCACCCTGACTCTCCCTCCTCCTGGTTCTCCGTGCTTCCTCAGACCCTGCTGGAACAAAAGCAGCCACATGGGGATTATCCAGGCAAAAAGAGGTTAAGGAACTGATGAGTAGGGCAGATGAGAACACAGGCTCTGGTGTAAGTCATTCCAGGATACATATCCACCTTATCATCTATGAGCTTTGTGACTTAGGGCAAGTAACTCAACCTCTCTGGGCTTCACATATGAACAGGATCCTCATTATAGAGTTGTTATGTGAATAGATCAGCTAATGCATGAAAAGCACTTAGCACAGCAAGTTAATACACGCATAGTCAATGTTAACCATTACTATGTTTACGAAGGAGGAAAGAATGAAGACACTTTTATGGGTAGAATTCTTGGTTAAAAGCCAAGAAACCACAGAAAGCAAACGCAAGATAAAAGAAGAGGACGTTAGTTTGCAGCTAGGTTCCAGGAGGACCTCAGGGCCAGGCTGTCCCCAGGAACAGAGGGAGGCTGTGCAGGAAGAAGGGACATACACATAGTGTGATAGGCCCTCTTTGGAAAGAAATGAGGCTTAGTGGCCATAGGGACAGTCTTCGGACTGGTGTGCACAGACCTGGGGCCCAAGCTGTGTGGACACTGTGTGTGCACAGGGGTATGGATCTGTGCAGACACTGGACTGAGACTCCTTAGCAGGGTGAAGAGTGCACACATGTGGGTGCCGGTGTCCAATGGCAGGGACTGCCAGCCACTCTTTGACACCTGTGCCACATCAGCAGTGGGTGGAGGCAGAGTGCTAGCTGAGGCCAGAGCTATAGGGATTTGCTGAGGCTTCTGAGCACAGGAAGTGCAGACTGGGTCCAGTCTCCACCTAGATGTGGCTCTGTGGGTTGGGGCTTGTGTGGCAATGGCTTGGTGTGGGGGGAAGCAGGGGACAGGAGCCACTACCACACCCACAGGGTGCAGATGCCAGGACTGGATAGCTGGGCAGGCTCTGGCCTGGGGTGGGAGCTGGCTGCAGCCAGTTTGGGCTGCCCTTTCCTGGTCTTGGCACTGGTTGCACATAAGCCAGGCAGAGATGGGTTGCTGCCACCTAATGGCCAGGAGTTGCAGCAGGGCTTGGGGAAGACAGGCTGTAGACTTCCCGGAGGTGTTTTGGAAGAAAGGCACTTGACATCCCGACACCCCCCCTTCTTTTTCTCAACCTTTTCCCCACTTCTCAGGTTCTTCAGTCTGCCAAGGAACAAATTAAATGGTCATTACTGAAATGAAGGCTGTGGATTTAAGGCTTCTTGCCGCCGGACCATTTCCTGAATCCTGGAAAAAGCCCAAAGACCCCAGACAGGAGAAACTCCTCTGTGTCCCCAGACCCCTCCCAGAACTGACTCCTGAGATCTCTGCCAGGGAGTCTGAAATGCAAAGGTTTGGCCCTAGCACTGAGTCACCCCCTCTCACTTCCCTTTCCCGCCCACTGAAGCATGCATAGGAACCAGCTAAGCTGCCTTAACTCAGGCCTTAGGCACCTCTGGCCCAGAGCCCTAATAAACCTGCTTTTGTCTCCTGACCAAGAGAGTGTGCGTGTGCGTGTGCGTGTGTGTCCCAGATCCAGGGCTCATGCACTGCTGTGTTATCCCGGTGGTTGGCGGGGTGGGGGTGGGGGGCGAGGAGGGTAGGGGGATGTCAAGGGGAAGGGGACTATTTAACAGAGTGAGAGGAATAACACTGATACCATATAGCCCCATATGTCGTGGAGGTGGGCTGTGTATGATTGTGTGACACGGTAAAAGAGTAATAGTGGACAGAACAATGCATACTTCCTGAAAGGGAAGGCTGGTGCCCCGATTTTGTGTGTGTGTGTGTGTGTGTGTGTATGCAGTACACACATGGTGGATCTGTCGGGACTCCTTGAGACATTTTTTTTTCATTCCTAGCCTCCAGAGGGGAAGGGAGTAAGGCTTCCTCCGGACAAACTGAGGAACAGCATGACTGTTTTTCTTGGCATCCCTGGAACCACGGAATTCCTGTACTGGCACATACCCTGGGCGGGCACTTTAGCCCCGCAAGCTTGCCTTTGCTCGGTCCAGGTCCTGGAGACGGGGAAGCATCGGTCAGCCCTCACTATGCACGTGTCCAGTGCACCCAGCGCGATCCATCGGCTGTGAAGGATTGCAGGTCCGGAGGGAGAGGAGGGCGGAAGGGGATCCCAGGGACAGACGGGAGGAATGTAGATGCATTTCTGTGAGAAGTGAGTCCTCTTCTCCCTCCCTCTGTCCCAGAACTTCGGAGTCTCGCTTTCTTTCTCTGACATACACACTTTCTGAGTCCTCTAGCGTGCGTAACGTTCCCTCTCCGCACGGCTTGTTTCCCTCCATCCCTTGCGGACTTCAGAAGCCAGTTCACATCCCGCCCGGCCCCGCCCCTCGCAAGCAACGCTCGCCGCGGGGAGCTCCGCCCCTGAGCAGCATCCGCGATCCTGTAGCGCCACCTGGAGGGAACCGCGGTAAATGCGGAGCTCTCTCCAGGTCCCGCTCGCCTGCTTAACTCCGCCCCCAGGCGGAACCGACCGCTGCTCTAGAGTTCCTCACTAGTTTCCTTGGCCAGCGACTTGCCGTTGCCCTAGCAACCAGCTCCTGTGGTCGCCCTGTGAGTCCGGCGCCAGCGTTGCCACACTAATTTCCTCCAGCCGCTACAAATAAGAAAGTGACGAGTCCCGGGTGTTAATAGAGGCTGTCCCTGTGGGTTATCACGTCCTACATTCTAAAACCCCCTAAGGATTGAGTATTTATATAGGGCATAACTACTTCGATATAATTAGAGAAAAAATGATAAAAATATAGTTATGTAAATAAACATATACACTGTAAACATTGTATATACAACCCATTCCAGTAAAAAATGCAAGAAGCAACACTGAAGGTGGGAAAAGTGTATACAATTAAATACCCTAGAGTTTAGGGACTAGTATGGCGACAGGAAATGAAACATTCTCCAGAAATACTTTGGTAAATATGCGACCACACCCAGTGGCTGGCTCCAGCCACCGCCCCTAAGGAACCGCAAAGACTGGAGGGGCAAAATCGCTTCCTAGCAGCCCAGGCACGCCTTCCTTGGCCCAGCAATTCCAGTTGTGCTGGGACCGGAATGAGAAGAAACAGGCAGGAGGGGTCAGGTGCTTCACACTGAATCCTGTGAGCTAAGTGATGCTATCCCTATTTCACGGAAAGGAACACTGAGGGTCGGAAAGATTAAGAGCGGCAGTTTTCACAGAGCCCGGCTCCAGCGGGGGAGTTACTGGAGCAGAGGCGGCTTTCCAGGCCCTCTGGGGCGTCCCCTAGGGCGTCCGACGCCCTTGAACTTGGTCTGTACTGGGTTAGGAGGAGAGACCAGAGGAGGTATGGGAATGGCTGAGAAGCAACCAAAGCCTCCTCGCCCGCTGTGGCAAAAGAGCAGACCCCACACTCGCGGCGAGGAGCGGCGAGCCCAGAGAGCAGCGCAGTGTCGCGGGAGGACCCGAGGAGGGCCGGCAGGGAGGGGGCGCTGCTCCTTCCCAAGGCGCCCGAGTTTGCAGGTCGGGCTGATGGAGAGACCTCCCTGGAGCGGGAGGGACAGCCGGCTACTGCCCTCTGGCCCCCTCTCGGCTCCTCCAGCCCAGTAGAGCCGCCAGGACGGCGGGCCTGGCCGTCGGCCCAGAGCTCTCCCGGCTGGCACCGGCTCTCCCCAGACGACTCATTAGCGGCTGCCACAGGCCGGAGCCGGTGGGCGGGAAGGACTGGGCGGGCGGGGCGCCATCTGAGCAGTCCGGGTTTCGGGAAGGGCGGTCGGCGGTTCCGGACGCGAACGGCCGCCAAAGCCTGCCTTCCCGTCTCCCTGCATTCCCCCTCTTTCCCCTCATGCGTGACCCGGAGAGTCCGGGTATGTGTGCGGAAGGGAGCCTCAGGGCGCCTCCTTCCCTTCCGCTGAATTGGCATCCCGCTACTTTAGACACCCAGGCCCCAAGAGCCTGGGCCAGCCTCAGGGTGCGGACAGAAACACTGACCCCGGGGCTCTAGTACTGGAGGGGACGCTGGCCACGCCCAGATCCTGTGGTGGACACAGAGAATGCGCGACCCGGCCCTCCGACTCCCTTTATACCACCTTGAGCCAGTCGCCCCCTCTCCCGCTCTGGGCGTCCCTTGCTTTCCCACCATTGGTTGGCAGGAAGGTAGGGCTAGTCTGATTGGCTTGCAGCCAGGCAGTGATGAATGGCTCCCTGCTGACTGGACTGCGGCAGGCCGGGAATCACTGCCAGTGCGCGCGGATTGGCTGAGGCAGTGCCAGCCGGGCTCCAGGAGTAGGAGACCCACGGGAGAAAGAGGGGGAGGGCAGGGGAGGGGGAAGGGGACTGGGGATCTGCCTGAGGCTCAAACTTTCTGTACCCTTAATCTTTTGAAACTACTATATATTTAAAAAAAACAACAACAACTCACTGCTATGGAGTGATTCTGACTCATAGTGACCCCCCATTGGGTTTCTAAGGAGGTAAATCTTTACGGAAGTAGATTGCCCCGTCTCTTCCTTCCGCATAGCGGCTTATAGGTTTGAAACTTTAACCTTATGATTACTAGTCAAATGCCTTAGGCGCTGCGCCACCAGAGCTCCTGCTATGTACTTGGAGGGGGGTGGAATCTTACCTCTGAAATTCCAGTAGCAACGCTTAAACTCGGGAACCCAACGTCAGCAAAGTTGAAAAATTTACTCACAGCAAGTTGGGCACAACCCTACGAGGCCATCTTTTCCCTCCAACCTGGGTCTCATCCTTTCAACAGTATTCATCATTCATTCAGATATTTGAGTGTGTCCCAAGAGCCAGAAGAATGAAAGGGAAGCTGTTTGGAAGAGGTTGGGGCAAACAGTACAGTGGGGTAAGGGTGGGGGATTTAAAAGAGGGGAAGGAATTTGAGAGAGATTTCAATGTAGAAATATCTTTAAAACTCCAATGATGTTCTATAGCTTGATCTGGGTAGTGGTGAAAATTCACAGGGTTTGCGTTTAAGGTTTGTGCTCTTTGCTCTAGTTGAATTATACTTGAATAAAAATGAAAACATTAATCAAATGGCTGCCAAATTATATTCTATCACTAACATCGGTATGGTTCTCATCTGTTTCCTGTTATTCCTTTTCACCAACTAAAAATGGACAATATCTCAAAGCAATGAAAGTGGTAGTGAAGCAAACGTGGAATTAATACTGTACATGTAGATGAGTGCCGTGCCTTAAAATGGTTTCTTTGCTAAGAAAAGCAGTATTGCTAACATAATAATAGTAAAATAAATTCTTTTTCAGAATTAATACTTTCAACAGACATTTATTAAGTGGCTGTTCTGAGCCAGGCACCTTGCCTGGAGTTGGTGGGAGTGTCGATGAAGATGAATTGGAAGATGCAGTTCCTGACTCAAGGAAACTACAACTTGGCTGGGAACAAAGTTGTGTACTTGCATAATGAAATTGTAAACCTTCATAGACCAGGCTCACAGAGGAGATGGTGTATTACATAGTACTTGGCAGAAGGAAGATGGGGAAAGAAGCAACGACATAACCAAAGCAAAGATGTGATGAAGCCCTATCTTGTTGAAAGAATTCAACGAACAGGCAAATGTCAGTCAAGTGGAGGATGGGGGGAGGGTGGCTAGAAGATTGGGTTGTATGGAGACAGAAAGTTTCTCCCTAGACAGGTCACAACTGGATCACTCAGAAAACTAAACCCATTGCCATTGAGTTGGATCCAACACATAGCGACCCCTCCTTGGGTTTCCGAGGCGGTATCGCTATGGAGGGAGCTCTGGTAGCATAGTGACTAAGACACTTGCCTGCTAACCAGACGGCTGGTGGTTCAAACCCACTAGCCACTCCTCGGAAGGAAGGTTGGGCAATCCTACTTCCATAGTGATACTGCCTTGGAAACCCAAGGAGGGGTCGCTATGAGTCGGGGCTGACTCGACGGCACATAACAACAACAACAACAACATCACTATGGAAGTAGATTGCCCAATCTTCCTTCTGAGGAATGGCTGGTGAGTTTGAACCAACAGCCTTCTGGTTAGTAGTCAAATGCCTTAGGCACTAGGCCACCAGAGCTCCCAACTGGATCATAGAGGGCATGCAACGCCATATGGGGTGAGGATGGGGGGCAGAGAAAAACTACCATTTATGAAAATTCTTACTCTGTACACTTTAGAAATACTATTGTCTTGAAAACAACCTAACAAGGTAGATATTGTTGGCCCTATTTTAA